GGATTGCCTAATCCCCATAGTGTGTGCGCACCACAGGCATATCCTCCCATGCTTGCAAAATCCCTTCTAGCACCAGCTATTGGAAGGGGCAACACTGGCTCCTACCACTACTATCGACCACAAGAGGAACACATGACAGAGACCATGCAGTTCTCCTTGAGTTTTTCTCTCCCATTCCCTCACTCTCTCAGCAGGAAAGTAGAGAGCAATTTGTAGTTACAGCCATGGGTGCCTTAAATAGTAGAAAGGCCTCCATTTATAGGTCTAGGACGGACTGAGCACCCTAAAACCCCATGCCACGTGGCAACCCATGAAAGGCCACAGCCAAAGTTAGATGCCCGCATGAGGTCAGGAAGTCGAGACCCTCACAAAGGCAGGACCGGTACAGTGTCGATGAGATCACTCGGTCCCGCCTGGGTCACGAACCCCAAAGCATGGCACACTGGCACAGCAAAGCTTAGCGGTCACGTACCATGTCGTCAGGGCATCCTGACAAGAACGAACGTAATGGCCACCTACCGCATTGAACGCACCAACCCGCAAGGGGCCGAGCGACGAAGCTTGAATAGGCCACAACAACGAACCCGCGCACGAATACACACGCATCTCAGCGCTTTCGCAATCACTTCGTAATCGCAAAAACGCTCGGAGGCTACTATCGAGGTTATAACCTTAGGGTGTCTCAAGGCATCGATTAGTTAGCAGGTCGAGCGGCCCATTATACATCAGCCAGTAAGAGCCCGAACAACCGAGGCCCAACTGATCCAAGAAAATTAGGCCAAGCGCTAAGGCGAGGGCCGGCCACGACCCCTTCAATAGACTTAGCCACACAACGTATGAGAGACGCATGATCTCTCCACCATCTCGAACCCTGGGAAGAACGATGAGAGGTCAAGCGCAGCCAGGCACACCTTCTTTGACAAGGGTAGGCATGCCACTCTAACCCCGCAAGGACCGAGGGGACAGTGGTCACCTCGGTCCGGTCAGACGTCATCCCTGCACCACGCAGCTCAGACAAGCCAACATCACCCAAGGCGGTGATGACTGGTATGATAACCATCGGTCAAATATAGCCTGACAAGATGCAATTATGATTCTACCAACTATAGGATGGGATCCACGACGAAGGCCTTGACTTAGAGGCCATCCGGACCAGTGGAAGCCATGACCCCAACGATCGGGGGCGTGGCCCTCAGCTCCTCCGGCCAACAAGGCAACCGACGTCCTGGGAGCGGCTACCAACTTCTGTACAACGCCCCAGAAAACCAGGAGGCAATGACGAAGACCATGGTGGAGACCACGTCGCACAGAACGACTAGTGAACCTCCACCGTGTCTACAGTGCTGCCACGGTCGGCACAGTAGCACCACGCCACACCATGCCATGATGTGGCCACAGGACCGTGACGACAACCATGTCTGGACGTGGACCACAAGACAGTGTAGCTTGCAAGCCAAGTTATCTAGAACCTTCCTCAGGCTCACGACCCTTCGGTCGGGAGAACCTCCTTCTCTGTACACGCCCTAGCCCCGAACTCTATATAAGGGCAGTCAGGGCACCATCTTCAGACATCCTCTACCATTTTACTCATTCTCCATCGTAGCAGGGCTCCTAGAGCTTCCCTTCAGACAGCCCATCTCCTAGCTCTAGATCTCCAACCTTTTCCACCATTCTTGCACCCCATTGTAAGAACTTCAAAGCATTCAAGCGAGGAACACAAACTCGATCATCTCCGAGACTAGACGTAGGGCTCCGGCCTGAACCAGTATAAATCCTCGTGTCTTTTGGATGCTACCATCGTCTTCCTAGAGCAGTGCGGCAATCGTATAAATTTATTAGTCCGGTTTATAAAACACCCACAGGACTACTGTGTGTTTGCTCGGTTTCTCGGCTTCTCGATTCCGTTGGCCAGTGAAACCAAAACGAAGCCGACAACTGAACATCCCAGGTACCAAAATCGAAGCCGAAACCGAAAAAACCGACATTTTGATTTCGGTCGGTTCGGTGTGGTGCAGTTTTCGGCTTAAAGTGCCTAGCCGGAGTGGTGAGAGAGAGAGGATGAACACAATGGCACCTGGCACGTTGATTATTTAATCAAATTTGTTATTTTAATTAACTGGCTTGTGGTGTGATTTGTTAATTCAATTCGATTTATATTTGCAGTCGTTAAAATAGCTATTAGAAATTAAAGCCATTCTAAGAATACTAATTTAAAATAGTCGTTAAAATAAAATGGTAAATTTGGTAGTCACAATATATGTATAAAATATAGGTGACTGGAATATTATATAAGGAGGCTGAAGTGAGAGCTTGGTTGGAGCACATTGAAAGATGAAGGTTGTAATTTGAACGAGGAGCTTTCATAGTGTTTTTTTTTTGCGAAGAGGATAGGAGGCCAAAATTTATGAGTTCGTTTGGAGTTGCTCTAAAACAAATGGCGAGGCTAGGAATTTCTAACTGTTTGATCTAATTAAACGAACGGTTTACGGTTATTGAGTAGCATAGCAAAGTTCACATTTCTTTGCATCCTCCGCCATGGCGACATTGGCAAAGACAAAATATGTTCTCTTTTTTCCTTTGAATGGGACGACAAATGAGGAATTTTCTTGGCACCCCGATATGGCCAAAGCAAGGAGTGTACTTAGAGACAAAGCCAGAGAATCCTTTTATTTCAGAATTGCTAAACCTCAACCGGTTGATTTGGCCTCTCCAATCAACTAATTTTTAGGCCATCTGATCTTACGCGGATGGCTAGTAGGGGCGCTGATCGATTTGAGCGAGGCACGAGCAACCGTGATCAGTGGTCGTGCGACGAAGCGAAGCAGTGCGGCCAACCTCAGAGCTCGTGGCCCCGGCCTTGGCGGGTGTGGCACAGGGCCGGTGGCCGACGACGAGGAGGGCCGACGGCCGGCTATGAGTAGGGCGACGAGGAGGGCCGCCCCCAGGCCGGATCACCGTTGCTACTTCTTCTTCGGACTCTGTTTGCGTGCGCATTCGATGGAAGGGAAGGGAAGGGAGGGAAGGGAAGGGAAGGGAAGTGCGCAGGCGACGGAAGGGAAGGGATAAGGTTTGGGAGGTGGGTCCCACCACAATTTGGAAAAAATTATTTTGAAATTTATGAAAAAATTATGAATTTGAAATATATTTCTCTGGTATCTGCAATTCATAAAAATAATTTGAAAGTATTTCTAAAAAATTTGGCATATATTTGTATTATCTTCAAATTACACCCTGTGTTCAATAAATTACATTGAAGAAATCATTATAAATCTAGTAATAAGATAGTTTAAATATATCTAGAAGATACTGTGAGTACATGAAAAAATTCATTTGACATGAGAGGCGAAAACAACTTAATGTCACCCATTTATTTAGGCAATAATAACGCCACTGAATCCTTAAAGCGTGTAAGTCCAACGGGTGCGTCTGCCGTAACAGCAGCTACTGACAAAAGGACGGTAGTCACAAAGATCTCCTCCCTGGACCCTGGGCACCGTTCGTCGCCGCCAAGGCAGGCCGAACTTCGCGAGCGGCGAGCGCACGGCTTCCCGTTTCATGACAGCACAGCACATTGGTTTCAACGAAGAAGCAGCAGCCAAAAACCAAACCACGCCTCACCGTGGGCACTGCACGGCTGCTGCCGGCCTGCCGCCTGCGGCCTGCCTGATCCCGGCGGTGCCGCCGGCCGTTAACCGCGCTCGCCCGACGGCCAGCGGCCAGCCGACGCATCGTCGTCATCGTCAAGAATGAGTGGCTACTGCACCGAGACCGAGCTGCAGCTGCCGCTGCCCCACGGTGGCATCTGCCAGCAAGACGCCGGCGAAAAGTGCTCCCTGCTCCGGACCGAGCCATTGAAGCAGTGACGTTGCTGTGAGTGACTATTCCATTTCCAGCCACATGTCTCTCAGTGCCAGCCAGCAGGCATTGTAAAGCACTACCTCAGATTGCAGCCGCGTAGGAGTACTTGTGGCTGCTCTGTACTACGTATAAGCTGTAACTTCGATGAGTGGCTGTAAATCTTCAGGGATCGAATGCTGAGGCAGGGTTTCCGAAAACCAGCCTACTACTGACAGGATTGCTCGGAGACAGGAGTCGGGGGTCAGGACCAATGGACCATCCATGTGAATCAATGCAAATATTGCAGATATGAGATGAGAACATGCTGCACTGCACTTTGTTTCAGGAGAAAAAGAAATTCTCAGGTTTGTTTATGAATATATATATATGGTAGTAGTTCTATATATAGGGAGAGTATATTCAGTAGCCATCTACAAAATAAGTTACGTGTTTACGATAGTTGGGTTCCTATTACACATGAAGATATTTACCATAACGTTATAGTAAATCACTTAGCAAGAAGTTACTATAATCTCGTAAATTAACATAGTAATTATCGTAACTCAAAGTGGCTACAGAATAAATTATTTTTGTAGCCAACTACAAGGTAGTAGTTCTCTCTCTCTCTCTCTCTCTCTATATATATATATATATATATATATATATTGGGCATGTTCGCTTGTCTAAATTTCGGAGGAATTTGGATGATTTGGAAAAATGCCGGAGGAATATGTGAGAGAAAAACACTGTTCCAGATAAAAAAAATAAACGGATCAAACCGGATTCAAGGTCACGTGAACGGGGCCATTATGTATATGGTTGTTGTTTTCCTTTGTCAGGATTCAGGAACGAAAAACAAATGAAATAAATAACCCTTGCTCGCTCACTCACACACACACGCTCTACCTCAGGTTACCAAGGTGAAAAAATAATAATACAATCTTAACCGTTCAGTAAATCTCACTAGTTACCACTGTAAATAAATAAATCTCTCAACAGACTAGGCGTCGTCTGCCTGTTCTACTGCCTCTCTTCTCGTTTGTGTGTCACCAACTCACCATTTCTTGGTTGGTTCTCATGTTGTGAGAGCCCTCATTCTCCTATCGACAAAAAAAACAGAGGGTTTACAAAGTGATTAACGTGTAATGGCGTGTGATGATGAGCTACAAGTCCAGCTCGAAGTGGAACGCCGGCGACGCGTACGCGGCGAGGTCGCCAAAGAACAGGGCCTCCACGTCGACGCCCGCGGTGTCCTCGCAGCCGAAGAACGTCTGTATGTCCTCGGGGAAGCCGCGCTGATGCGGCGAGGCGTCCCTGGCCGCCGCCTGCACTGGCGGCTGCGGCGGCGATGGCGACCGCCGCGGCGTGCGCGGCGGCGACGAGGACGACGACGTGGTGGTGGTGGTGCCGCTCTCGGCCGCAGACGTCCGCTGGATCATCTCCTTGAACTTGGGCGACTGCAGCAGCAGGCTGAGCGCCGACGTCGTGGGCGTGTGGCCCAGCGACGTCCGCGGCGGCAGCGGGAACGGCTCGGCGCCCTGGCCGTGGTGGTCGTGGTGGAACGCGGCGGCGGCGCCGTCGGTGGCGGTGTCCGCCGGCGGCAGCAGCAGCAGCTTCTGCGCCGCCGCCGCCGCCTCGGCCATCCCGCCGGCGGCGCCCGGGCGGAGCCACTTGATGTAGCGGCTGAGGTCGAAGTTGGTGACGGCGTTCAGGCCCCGGTACTCGATCGCCGCCATGTCGTACGCCATCGCCGCCTCCTCCTGCGTCGCTGCCGTCGTGCACAACAAAAGGGTCCACGCAACAGGTGATCGATCAGCGCCAAAAGACGCGATTTTTCGCAGGAATTTGAAATGTATATATATATATTTCCATACGAACTGAACAATCTTATTTGAAATTATGGTAAAATTGCTATAAAATTCCCTCGTTCCAACCAAAAAGTGGCTACCCTGAACACGACGTGTCCTAGGGTTTCTGCAGAGGATTCGGCAACTGCATTCGTGCGGTGTGCCAGCGACAGTTGAAGCACACACCCATCGTGTCCACTCCATCCTTCCTCTACCGACCGGAGCCGGATGAGAGTGTACTGCGTCTCCTCTTTATTCTTTATTTATGAGTATTAATTGCTCTAATCCCCGTGGTAATGGATGTTGTAGGCTCCGACAGACAGGTGCAGAGCAGCAGCAGTGCAGGGGGGACCGTTGGAAGTTGGTGCGGCTGCTGCTGGCCCTGGCCGGGTCGACCTGACCTCACTGTCACTGAGGTATATGGAATCCATCTAACGCCCCAACTAACCAGAATTCAAGTTGTTTGCCTGGAAATGAGATGATTGGCCAAATGGCAATCGCCTCCTGCATCAGCCAAAAAAATTGCAAAGTGAACAAGGCGTTGGCCCTAACTGCCGGGTCCAGTTCCATCTAGTAGACCATTCCCAGGCTTCCAACCAATGGACTGCCAGTAGTTATTACTGGAGTACTGCTGCATAGTATTATTTCATTTTTAAATTGCCGGGACAAGGTAACAAATTTTTGCAAAATAACTGGGTATCTTTCGTTGTTATTTTTTAATTGTTATGAATAAGACTAATTACTAGTAAAAGAGTAAGAAATTTCATCTAAATTGTGTAATTAGTTTTATTTTTATATATATTTTGGCTTATGCTAAAATATTGTGGAAGGAAAATATTAATCGAACTGAAAAGTAGACCATTCCCAAGAGATCATGGGCTTAGTGGATGCAAGAATTACACCGTAGTACTACCCGGTCCATTTTTAAATTGAGGGCACAGGTTCAGTTTCGTCACTAGGGTATCCTATGTTCTTCATACTTTAACATGTGTAGCTCTGCACGCGAACGACTTGCACTTTATCACTACTTAATTTGGCTTTCAGAGTTCAGACATACTCCACGTACGGAAGCACAATTTATAGCACAAACCAATGTAGTTCTCCCACTGTTTTTATAATAACTAGATGAGTGCCCGCATCGGGTGCAACATAAATTAAATAAGATGTTATTATTTATGGTGATTATTTGTCTACCGGTGATTCCGTGAGTTTTATTCCATTTTATTTACTTGCCTTCTAGTGTTTTCATGCCGTGATTATTTGCCTGCCGGATATGGATCGCATGAATGTTTTGGTCCTGCCGGGTAGATGTTGACAATACGAAATATTTTAGTTGTAGAGATAAGGCTATCAGTCCATGGATTCGCGGTTAACTTTTGTGGTATTTTCAGGAAGAAAAATTACTATTAGTATTTTTACAAGGCACAGAAGTTACCGTAAGTCCCGAGGTAGAGATACTTGTTTCCGAAAACGCGACCGATCCTCGCCTCCCATCTCCCGTTGTGGTGATGTCTGCAAAGATTGACATATACATATACAGTAAATAAACAAGAGTCCATGCTATCTAAACCAATCTTTCTCCAGTCCAGCCACATAGTTTAGGTCTCCTCTTCACAAAAGTCAAAAGATGTTGAAAGGCACAAATAAGACGCTATACCTCGCGACACCTCGGTATTTGGAGACACCTCTGGAGAACCCACTGCTTTTCCTGTGGATAAATTTCATGGACCTGATTATTTGGTCAAGCATGGGTGTGATTCGGTCTTGTTCAAAAATTTCCATGGAATTATAATATTTCATTTAATAAAAAAATCGCCACTGTTCTTTTTTTTTGTGTGAAATTAAAGAGCCAGTTACCTCCTCAAGGATCCAATATACTCTTCCCTGGACTGCCCCTCCATTCCTTTCATCTCTCCTTCATATGCAGACGCCTGCAAAATAATAATTATTTATTTACAAATTAAGTACGCCTGGAAGGAGAAAAGAAAATTCAACTAGCTCATGCAGGTGCAACATGTGCGTGCGTGGTGTGCAAAAACAAAAAAATGATACACATGTTTGGGGATAGCTGGAAAAAGAATATGTACTGTAAACTCTGAATCTCTCTGCACTCTGCAGAGCTACCAAATTCTAATAAACATGCGCTAATGACGAATTAATTAGGTTTAAAAAATTCGTCTCGTGGAGTACTGATAGATTATGTAATTTATTTTTTTATTAGTATCCGAACACTCCATATAATATTCTTCCAACACACCTCCTAAATTTTAGTCGCTGAATCAAACACTGCCTAAGTTTGCAGAAACAAACACAACGCAGGTTTTGCACGAGTTGACTGATCCAGACGCACGCCCATGACCGAATTAAAAATTTGCAGCAGGAAATATCCTCATGAGACGGCAGAGAATCGGTGAGCGAGGGAAGTAAAGTAACCCTGTGTGGTGGGGTGGATGAAAGAACGAGCCCTTGTTTAGTTTCACCTTAACTTTCAAAAAGTTGCTACAGTACCTATCACATCGAATATTTGCGGCCCGTGCATAGATCATTAAATGTAGACGAAAAGAAAAACTAATTGCACAGTTTGATGGAAAATTACGAGACGAATGTTTTGAGTCTAATTAGTCCATGTTTGGACACTATTTACCAAATAAAAACGAACTTGCTACGGTAGCACTAAAATCCAAATTTCTTCAACTAAACAAGGGCTGAGTGATGAATGGAGGAGTGAATTTTGGCGGTACCGGGAAGTTGAGGATGGTGCCGGGGCCCCAGTACTTCAATGCCGCCAAGTCATACGCCCGCGCCGCTGCCTCCTCGTCGTCGTACGCGCCTGCATGGATCGACATGTCCAGGGAGGGAGACGATGATGAGCAACACGCCACGCCATTGATGCTGTGCATACTAGTACCAGAGAATTTTTATTTTTTTTCTGATGAGAGAGAGAGAGGACAGTGGAGTGGGAGCTCCTCCTCTCTCTCACGCATGTCATGCCAAGGCCGTGGCTGGAGAGCCTCACTCACCGAGGTAAACTGCATGCGCCAACAACAAAAGAGAGCAGCAAGAACAAGATGGTCAGCATCGCATCGATCCTCCTCTTCCGAATCAATCACTTATTACTAGTATACTGTAATCAAATAGCCATGGGGGCAATTAACTATGGTTCTTACTGACAAGGGTCAGCTAAGACCCTGTTAATATATTAATATTGTTACTAGTACAAGCTGCTGCTACTACCAGTCTACCACTATGCTATAGTAAATTAACCTCAGCTTTTTAATTATGCCTAGGATCGGACAGAGCATCGTGATCCTCTGCCCGGGGAACCGTCGCATATGCAGCCCAGCAGAGAAAGGGTGAGGATTAGCTATACTGACCTTGCTTGCCCTTCTTGTTCTGGGACTCGTTCCAGCTGTTCTTGTCCCACAGGTGAGCCTCGAACCTCCCCGTCCACCGGTGCCTGCAGCACGTACGCACGCCAGCGATTCGATTCAATTCAATTCGTTCGGAGAATTAACGAGAAGCAGCAGGCCGACCGAGTGAGCTCGCTCTGATCAGTGGCCGACGACTCGCTCGTTTCGGCAGCTAGCTGCTGGCTAGCTGGCCATGGCTATACAATACAAACCGTGTGACGCCGCGGTAGACGGAGCTGCGCTGCGCGGGGGACTCCCGGGGCACGCTCTTCCGCGTGCGCTTCGGCTTCGCGCGCGGCGTGACGTCTCCGGCGGCGTTGCTGCCGGTGTTGTTGTTGTTGGCGGCGGCGGCGCTGTTCTTGCGAGGCTTCGCCATTATATTGCGCGTGCGTAGAGAGAGAAAGAGAGAGACGGGGAGAAGGGAGAGGTGGGTGGCCAACTATGGTGGCCTCTGGAGGTGGCCCTTTTAAAGATGCGCGGGGGGGGGAGACTGCGCTGGGAGCGGATTGGTGATGGGGCGGCAAAATTAGTTGATGGTTGGAGAGCAGGGCAAATGCCAAATGAGCAGAGGAGGAAGGAAGAGAGACGGGAGAGACAGGCCGGCTCTCTCTCTCTCTCTCTCAAAATTCTTTGCTCCGCTCCATCTCATAGGCCGGCGAAGAACGGCCTCTTCTTGTCCCCTAGCGAGCTGCCGAGCTGCGTGCGAACTGTGAGCGGGCTGGCACCCGTAACGCAAACAAAGCAAAGCCCCACGGCACAGGGGCGCAGCAGGCCAGCAGCCACGGACTCGTATCGGGTCCCGCCCGCCCACAGGCGCTGCTGTCGCGCATGCGAGATCGGAGATCCAATGGTAATACTCGCGCTCCCCGCGTCGTACACACACGACCTCTGCTCACCGGAAAGTCAATGCTTTTCGGTCACACAACCTGCTTCGGAGCTGATTAGGTGCGTGTTTGGACAGCTTAAAATCAGATATTCGGCCGCTCTACCACGATAATTAAGAAAATCCCGCCAAACGTCTCGCGAGAATCCATGATTCTTTCCTCCGCCAGAAACACAGACACCGTGAGATTGAACTAGCCCTTGTGTGTTTCCGTGCTGCGGTTGCCATTCCGTACCGCGTGGTGGTCAAGCTGCAGTCCCAAACACGACCTAAGGTAGATTCCTCGCCGCAGCTCGTCTCGCTTGGCCGAGAAATTTCACTGAATTTTCTTTGTAGCGTATTCGTTTTATTTATATCAGTGTTCAAATTATTCGTTCGTCTTGTAATTTCCCACCAAACTGTGCAATTAGTTTTTCTTTTCGTCTACATTTAATGCTCCATGCACGGGCCGCAAACATTCGATGTGACAGGTACTGTAGCAACTTTTTGGAAATTGGCCTCCAACTAAACACGGCGTGAGTTTATATCACCGCTTCATTATTCGTGCTTTCGAGATTCCTCCTTGCTCACTCACTCGAGCGAGCCGATTTAGTTCGCCTCTGCTAGCCTTGCCAAGCAAAGCAACATGGTGAGAAAAAAACAAGCATGTCCTTAGTTGCTTCGCTTGACACTATATTGCTTAATTGAGTGAGGTTGCTTAACTGAGCAAGGATACAGAGCATACATGTGTGTGTGTTTAGATGCCTTGCCTTGCGATGTGTGGGCTAGCTTTATCTTGCTTCCATGAGCAAACCGAATTGGCTCCTCTGGATGGCCAAGCTTGTCGTTTATATTTTACTTTTCCCTCCTTTTTATCTCTACCTAATTAATTCAATTGAGCTCTAGCAACTTCTCATAGGTTAAGGCGGGCTTCAAATTTAATATTATGGTTTTCTCTATGCTGGTTAGGACTATGATCCTAGATGGGATTTACGACATATTTGGTTGATACTTCATTTTGTCACAACTAAAGTTAGACAAAATGTGGTAGTCAAAAAAGGTGTGGCCAGCAAATCGAGCATAGAGTTTGCTATCAAAATAACTCTATGATATATAAGACATATATGGCTAAAAAGGTTTGGTGTGCTATAATAGAAGTGTAAATCAAAACATATCTAAATAACTAACTCTTGTGGCATGACCATACGTGAACAGGAACAAAATAATAGTACACCTCCCTACCAAGTTCAAAAAGACATGGACAGAGGCCAGCTTCGTAGTGGTGATGTGACGGCCATGGGAGCTGATGCGAGGCATTGGAGCTAGCCTGCTTGCATCCTGCCACAAGAGACGACGACGGCCATGGGAGCCAAATAACACGTAGTCAAACTTCACTAGGATTAATATATCGTCAGTTTTCTTCATTAATTCTGGTGCACCATACTAGGGAAATCTTTTTTTAAAAAAAAGATAATGGAAAGATATATCTGGCTTCATATTTATTAAAGATAAGTCTCACCAATCTAATCTAACTTAACACTACCACATTTCTAACTACTCTTCAGCTGCAACAGTGAAGAAGCATGTTCCACTTGATACAAGGTAAAAGGATGTGTTTGATAATCAGATGTGAACCTAGGCCTAGGGCCATCACTAGGATGGCGGATGAAGAGGCAGGGGCGGGCGGCAGGATGGAGAAGTTGGGGCGGCGGGAGATATGGTTTGAAGTTGAACTTTTTGGCTGTGTTCAAGTCGGACTATGGTTTAGTTTTGCGGCAGGATTTGGAGAAGTTGTGGTGGCGGGATTTGATAATAATGTCCGATCGTTTGCTTAAAACGTTGAACTTTTGGCTGTGTTCAATTAGTTTTGGTCGGACTATGTTGTGTACCACAAGTTTGATGTATGCCAAAGTTTGGGTCAAGTGAACTAAACGTGGCCTATGTTGTATGATGGGTCAACAGAAAAAAGAATATGGGCCATTCTACTCAGCGCCAACGCCAAACAAAGCGTGTGGTCTATGGTTCTGTAGGCATGAACGTGAACTTAGCCTACCAAAAACTTTATAATAGTGGTGTTTGCAATACATATTTCCTGGCGAGAACTACTATTTTCACGAGAGTTTATGATAACCCTCATGCTAATAAGATTTTTTATGGTGGTTTGCGCAACACCTTCACGAAATAACAAATTTTCGAGGCGGTTTGCAAAGCACCCTCATGAAAACATTTTCTATGGTGTGATTTACATCCTCCTCATAAAAAAGATTAATTTTATGGGAGTGTGTTTTTAACTCCCACAGAAAAATTGCCTCTCTTATAAAATCTCCAGTTTTCTAGTAGGGTGTGGCCCTAGTCATCACCTCGGTAACTCATGTATACCCTAATAATTTTTAGTCCATTTCAAAGTGTCCACTGAAAACCAACGTGTCAAACACACATTGTAGGCGGAATTTATGATGGAATTGATCAACCCCCAACAACAACGACCGTCGGAAGTCACGTTCCGCCCCCTCTACCTCAAATCCGGTACACTCCCCAGTTATGATGCCGCAACGGCAACCCGTGATGCCCATATTGATACCGATGTACGTACACATCCACCATCAAACATGAAGCTCAACTCCACAAGATCCAATTACAAACATGTTCACAGGCAGAGGCAGGCATGTTAACTTGTTGATTGGGCAGGAACCTGTACCGAGTAAACACCCGTCCAGGACCGGTGCCATGATTACGACGGCAACGGCGTACCGTACTTGCAAGATCGTTTGGCATGACCTTGGTCGCTGCGAGTGTTTTAGCTTGTCTGTACGACTGTACCATGAAAGACAGCAAGCTTCAGGGTCCGAGGGTTTTGGTAAACCTCCTCGTCTCCTCTTGCCTCTCGCTTCTGATTCTCCTTGGAAAATAATTATCTTAGTGGAGTGGTTTTATGTAATTCTCTAGGATAAACTTAAGGGGCGTTTGGATCCCTTTATTTTAGAGGAATTGAAATCTATTTAATGGATTAGGCTATTTGATTTGAAATTTGACATTCTATAACTTTCCTAAGCTCACAAATAAGCTTATTTCAAATTCATAGGCTGGGAGATGAAAATGAATTTTATAGATCACTATGCTATAATTCTACTCTCTAACTTATAGCACACTCTTCAACTCACTTTCCTATAATAGAAATACAAAGTATAAGGATGTCCCTTGTATGCATAACAATAAATATACAAATATATTTCATATACAACTATATTAGCTTAATTAATCTATGTCTAAATTATAATTATTAGAATGAATTCAATTAAGGATCCAAATGGCCGTAAAAAGTGATTCTTTACTGGAAGTAAATCAGAAGAAGCGGCTTTTTTCAGCTCTAGCCTCCTGGTTTATGTCATCGTAATAAAGAATAGAAATAAACGTGGCATGTTGTTAAATGGCATAGGGAATTTCAAAACAGGGGCATGCAATATGCAGATGTGATGCGACTGAGTGGTCTGAGGGAAACAACGCAAAAGGATTTGGAGGAACGGTGTGAGAGAGTGGACCAAGAAAAGGGGAAACTGCAGCTGAGTTCTCTAAATTTGCATGTTCGAGCTCATGTTTGATCTTCCTATGGAAGTGCGGTTAGGAATGGCATCCCAGAAGAATTCCTTATGGAAAAATAAATTCTAATGATTCAAATACTCTAAAGTTCATGCTATCTTAAGGGACACTTAATCATTTACAAATGCATGCATAAATGCTTAGGTGCATCAAAATAGCATACATGCAAAAGCATAAGGTAAGAGCACCATAGACAATTCCCACAAAACACCTCGTATTCCTAGAGCTAGAGCTAATCTCCAAGCCAAACACCTCCTTTCCTACTCCAACTCCATTGTGAAGCTACTCCACAATGCCACGGTGGAGCTTTTGGAGTAGACCTGAGAAAACATGGAGTTGAGCAGTCCCACATGCCCTTAGGCCTTAGATGACATCAAACTTGACCAAGTTATCTAAGATCTGCTCAGAGTATATCAAAGCATAATGAATACAGTGAGCCTTTAACTCATTCTGTCCAACTGCTGCGTTCATTACCTTGTCGATTGCCAGCTGGGCATGAAAATGGCCAAGATATCTAATTTATTTCGTGTCCCTGCCTGCTGCGAGGATCCCTGCCACTGATTTTGCAGATGGACAATTCTGCATGCCTGCACCTGAGGTTCAGTTCAGGACCGCAATGGCAACTTGCGGGAAACAGAACTTGAAGCAAGCTACCTGTGCTTCAAGGCTCAAACCAACCTGATCGTGAGTCATATACGCCCCAGCAGCTCCGGGGACCAACCAGGTTCACCATGCGTCGCTCATCATGCACCAAATGGACTAGTGATGTGTCTGTTATTGTTGGATTGGACAGAGTAAACCAGCACCACACGCAAACCCAACTCTGCACCATTATTTTGCAAGTGCTAACACAAATTCCGACAACGCCTCAAGATTCCCTAATCGACAAGCAATTGGATCTCATTCATGTATTTGAA